GCTTGAGTAATTTAAGGTCCTACAGAGCAAGAAGAAAACCCACATCTCCTGAGTGCCCCGTCCTGAATGCCAAGCTCAACAAACTTTTAGGTATAGGTTTTCTAGTCAATAGGAAAGAGAAGTTTTGTTTTTTTATGCAAAGCAGCTTAAACTGAAACTGACCTCACCCTGGGTCTGACTGGTTTTCAGGGAGGGAGGGAATGAGGCAGCTCTCCAGGAACTGCAGGGAGGACACACCTAGATTGCCCAACCCTGCAGGGCCCTGCAGCCCAGGCCCCACACAGGCCTCTTCCTTCCCTGACCTGGGCCCGAGGGAATGCCCTCCTCCGTGCCAGCTCCTCTGTGGTCAAAGGTCCACAGAGAACAACCCTCCACAGAACCTTCCCTCAGGTCAGTGCAGGGCAAGGTCAAGGGCACACCTGTAGGAGGGACCCTCAGATCAGCCCAAGCGGCAGGCACACAAAGCTGCCTGGCCCCTCTGACTGTGCCTCTCAGCTGCCCTCACCCCTCTTCAGGGCTGTCAGCTCATAAAAACCCTCTGGCCCCTGGACATGTGCCACCTCGCCTCGGCTTCTTCCGCTCTTCTCTCCTAACTGGGTTCTTTCCATCTCTACTCCCTTAGTAACTTGGGGTGCCAGTGGCCCCATGACTGCCTCTCAGTCCTGACTCTTCTCAGGTGTGTGCCTCTGACTGTACCCTGCCTGTCACCTCAAGCTCCTGAGAGTGACCGACCCAAGCGGGGCCCTGTGGGGTCTTTGAGAAGCGGGCTGAGCACACTGCAGGTCCTCCTAGGCCTAAGGTCATCCCTTCTCATCCTCTCTCCTTCCTATTGGGCAAATGCTTTCTCCTTTTGGGTGTACAGATGGCTACCTGCTGCATCACCACAGATTCTTCCCAGCTCCACAGCTTAGAACATCAGCCCTAAGCTTTCCCAAGCTGTTCACTTTCCCAAGCTGTTCTCCAAGGAAAAGCCCTTTCTCTCCCAGCACAAGGCACACACACACGCACCTGGCTTTCAGGCTGTGGTCTCGGCTGGGGAGCTGAAGCCTCGACACTGAAACTTCTTTGTTCTAGACGCCCTCAAACTTTAGCCATGTAGAATACCTGAAGAGGTTATGTTTTATAAAACAATAACAACGACAACAAAAAATCCTGCCCCCCCTCCCCCGATTTAGATTCAGTAGGCCTGGGGTGTGGTCCAGAGTTTGCATCACTCCCAGGTGCTGCTGCTGCTGCCAGTCGGCCCACCTGTGCTGGGAGCAGGCCCCTCGGCCCTCATCCGCGGCCAGGGCTGCTCCCAGCTTAAAGCTGGAGAGAAGAGCACTGAGGAAAACAATGCAGGAATGAATTCTCTCTGTGAAAATATTTCTAAATATTAACCTCACAGGTTTACCCCTGAGATGACCCCCCCACCTCCTTTGCAAAACAAGGTCTGAGAAGTTAGGAGACTTGCCGGGTCCCCCAGCACTCCACTGGAGTCAGGTGCTGACCTGGCCTCTTGCTCCCGACCCACTGTGTCAACTGGGAAGCTGAATGAATGTCACAGGTGATTGTTACTGGCAGAACCACCGCCATCCCTCCTGGCCTGGGTGGAGACAGTGTCTTCTCTGCAGAGACATGAAGAAGGTCGCAGTGCATGTGATCTCCCCCCTACCTGATACAGCCACTGCTCCTCAGGTGAGGGAGCCGGTCGGTGTGACTGAACAGGCAGCCCGGCAGCCTGGCCAGGAGAGGCATTTCCCGGGGCCTGGAGAGGATTCATTGCAGGGATAATCCTGTTGCTATGGTAACTCTGGACTCTGCCTTCCTCTGTGGGTGACAACAGTTTTACCACTTAGATCCTAGGTAAACCCAGTGTCTGGACTCTGCACTTTGTTCTCTTCACAACAAACCTACTTGTGTCGCCACGGACAGACTGAACTGCCAGCCCTGGCCCAGTTCTTGGTGTGTTTCTTACCATCTTCAGCAACTTCCAATTTCCTATTTTTCAAAAATAATCAAATGTAAAATATAGCATAGGGAGTTACTTCACATGGTGGAGAAAAATCATGCCAGCCTGTTACTTCTTTTTTATTTTATTTTTTATTCTTTATTGACTTTAGAGACAGAGGAAGGGAGAGGGAGAGAGAAATAGAAACATCATCAATGAAAGAGAACATTAATTGGCCACCTCCTGCATGCCCCGCACTGGGGATTTGGCCCACAACCTGGGCATGTGTCCTGGGCATGTGTACCGGGAATCGAACCGGCAACCTCCCATGGGTCGACGCTCAACCACTGAGCCACACCAGCTGGGCAAGTTACTTCTTGAGGTAAAATGGCAAGTAAACACAGAGCAGATTCTTTCTCTTTTCTTTTTGCAGTATGATTCACATACCATAAGACTCACTCCCCACCTTAAGTACATAATTCAGTGGTTTTTATTCAAAAAGTAAATGGTGCCAATGAAAGGACCTTCTAGAACGACAGAAAACTCAGTAGCTTCTTTTGCATGATGGTTTAATAGGAACATATAGTAATTATCAAAACTCTTCTAACTAAAAAATTAAGATCTGTTCATTTTATCATAGCATGTAAACTATACCTTGATTAAAAATCATTTAAAAGTAGATGGTGCCACTTCAATAAAATCTGAAACAACTTAAACTTCCTTCATGATAATGCTCCTCTCTGTCCAGGTGATCTTATCTACGCCCTTGGCTTCACCGCCCCTTCAGCTGTCTGCAGCCCACACCTCTGCAGTTCTCCAGAAGTGATTTACAACATAGCTCACTGAGCTCTCCAACGCAACCGTTCCAAAGTCTAACTCATTTTCTTCCTTATGCACCTGTCCCTTGAACATTCCATTTTTTCTCCCTCCTGTATTCTTTTTTATTATCCTCACCCGAGGAAATTTTTCCATTTTTGTTTAGATAGAATGGGCGGGAGAGAGAGGGAGAGAGAGAAACATCGACATGAAAGGGACACATCGAGTGGCCGCCTCCTGAACAACCCCAACCAGGGCCGGGGACAAACTGCAACCGAGGTACGTGACCTTAGCGGGAACCGAACCCGGGTCTCTCTGGACCATGGGCCAACGCTCTAACTGCTGAGCCAAACTGGCCAGGGCTCCCTTCTGTATTCTTTATCTTGGCACCGCCACCTGCCTAGCTAACCAGGTGAGAAGTCTTGGAGTCATTTTGGACTTCCCCCAGCTACACCCAGTAAGTCTTGAGGTCTTCTCATCGATTGCTCTCAAATGCATCCTCCTTTCTTCTTCTTCCTCTGCCAGCATCTTGGTTAGTTATGGCACTTACCACCCGAACCCGGGACCATTGGCAGCAGGTGGTCTCTGGCCTCCAAAGTCCCTCCCAGTGTGCACCCCACCACTAGGTGCTGTAGCTAACACTCCATTCAGTTAACTGTTTTCTCTCTTCCAACTTTTTTTTTTTAATGTTTTTTCTTTATTGATTTTAGAGAGAGAGGAAGGGAGAGATAGAAACATCAGCGAGAGAGAACATCGACTGGCTCCCTCCTTCATGCCCCTCACTGGGGATCGGGCCCACAACCTGGGCGTGTGCCCTGACTGGGAATCGAACTGGTGACCTCCTGGTGCACGGGTGGATGCTCAGCCACTGAGCCACAGCAGTGGGGCTCTCCTTCTCCAACTTAAAACTTGTTTCCTTCCTGCCTGCAGGGTAATAGCCTGCAAGGCCTACACGTCCCACCTATCCTGCTTTACCCTCCAAATTAAATCCCACCATTAAACGACTTCAAGTTTGCAGAATATATGCTATTTTAGCCCTCTCTGCTCCACTTCAGCTGCCTTGCTGACTTCTAATGATTGGTTTTTCAAGAACCTGGACTGATTAGTCCTAAGTGTCCCTTCTTTTGGAGGACTTCGCTCTGTGCCGTGTGCTCACCGCTGGCCTCGCTCTGTGGTCACCGTGTGGCTTTGACTTGTGTGTAGGTGTCTCCCTTTCCTACGCCAGGTCCAAGGCCAGCACAATGCCTGCCACACAGTGAACGCCCAGTAACTGTACAACTTCCTAAATATTTAAATTACATGAAAAGGTTATATTTCAAATGTTTCAAGTTCAAAGTCCACATCCAAGAGAATCTTGTCCACATGAAACCCTGAAGAGATAGCAGCCCAACACAAGCCTCTTTGGAGTCATTTTTGTGGCCATATATTTGTCAAATAGTCAGCACAACAACCTAACCACCAAATGCAACAACCGAACCTCTGATTGAATTATGGACTTAAAGAGTACAGTTACAAAGGTCATTACAGTTAGAGAAAATGGAAGTGGGCTACATGTTAGGTGATATTATTGAAATAATGCTCAGCTTCTCAGGGGTGATAATGGCACTGTAGTCAGCTAGCGTGTCCTTTCTCTTAGGCAGGAAAAGCTTTATTTCCAAAGCTTTGGAACTTATTTTCAAGGAATTCCTTTTAAAAGAGCATAACATACAGAGAGAGCAAATATGGCAAAATGTTCATTGATAAACCATGTATTCTTTGTACTAATTTTTGAACTCTGCATCTTTGAAAATTTTCAAAATAAAACATTCAGGGGGAAATGCTAAGAACACAACCCAGAATAAATCATAAATCTTTTGAAATTTGAAAGGCACAATTGTCCCTCACAAATTGGCTCTCCTAGTTGACCATCACACCTGTTCGTTTCTGTTTGCCTACATGGGATCATATCACACTCGAGAAGCTTAAGCAAATAAAAGTGTGCTTCCTAATTGGTATATGTCATTCCTTGAGATCAACTATTGGAGATTTCATCTGGTAAGATGTGCAGTGATAAGGAAGCAAGGAAGGTTCTGGGAAGTGGTCTTGCTTCAATCCTTTCAGAATTGCCAAGTCTCTAGCAAGAGCCAGGTAATTTTACTGCTGTGAAGGGGATAAGAATTTAGCCCTTTTCTGACATTTCTATTATATTCAGAGGGAAATTAAGACAAAAAGCATTTATCATTTCTATTTAAAGAGTTAATGAACCTATTTTATTATAATCTAATATACCCAAGCGAACGGGAAGTACATGGCTCCATGAAAACATGGCTGCTCACAGCCAGAAAGCAAAAACAGTACAAAGGTCGTGGATAAACAGAAGGATATTAGTCACGAGGGGGAATTCAGTACTGATATATGACACAACATGGGTGAAAACATGCTAAGTTAAAGAAGCCAGACACAAAGGCCACATAATGTATAATTTCATTTATATAAAATGCCCGGAATAGGTAAATGCATGGACGTTTATTCGTGTTTGCCCGGAGCTGGGGGCAGAGGGGTCAGGAATGTGGAATGATTGCTAATGGGCACAGGGTTCTTTTGGGGGTGGTAAAACTGTTCTGGATTTAGATGGTAGAGATGGTGGTAAAACTTAGAGAATACACTACAAGCCACTGAATTGTGCACTTTAAATAGATGAATACTATGGTATGTGAATTATATCTCAATTGTATGCAAAAAATCATTAACAAAAACAAAAAGTTAACAACAAAAAAAGTGAACAAAGGGGAACCCAGGGGCATGCTGGGTTTGACTGTGCCTTTGGTCTCCACATCACCCTTGTCAGATAAAGAGGGGCCCCACACTCTGTAGGGTGCTGTCCAACCTCCCTTCCACAGCACTGACAGGAGCACGTAGGGCCAGGGTCAGCGCCCACACATTCCTGTTTGCAGCCAGGATTCCACACAATCCTCACGTACGTCTCATGCCCCAGCTCTTCTTCACTGACCGTCATTGTACTCACCATCTCTTTATTCCTCTCCCTCCAAAACTTGGGTTTTGTTCATTGCTTTATCTCACCTGTACCCAAACAGAGCCAAGCTAATGGTAAATTTCTGGTGGATGAATAAACTTGGAAGAAAAGTTCACACAGAAATTTGCACTGAATATTAATGAAAAGATGAATCTCTTTGCTTTAAAATGTTTTTCTCCCATAAGACTTTCTCCTCCATTTAAATATATATCTAATCTTTAAGAAATCTTGCACAAATGGTACTTTATTATAGATCATCTAATTTACAAATCTTTATACACTTTAGAACAGTCAGGAATTGTAAACATAAAAATTTCAATATGCAACATTCAAATTTACAGCAAGAAACTCATTTTTAGACTCTGGTTATTGCTGCAATAACTTTATAATTCCTTATTCGGAGTCCAGTCATGTAGGCAAGCCCTAGTAAAGTAGCAGAAGCATTTCTGCACACTGGTGTCCATAATCCAGTTTGTGCAGAAGTGTTTCCACTAGACTCATAGAGCACTTTGGAAGAAAGAGGCCAGGACTGGTTATCTGGTTGCCTTTCGGACCTTCTGCAACTCTTCGATGGGCTTCCACTGTTGGTTGATTGTTACAAGCTTAAATAAAAAAAGCAAAATAAAATCTTTCGTTAGGATCTGTTCTTCATCCTTTCATCCCCTTTAGGGATTTGTCCACACTCCTCTTTAGAAAAAGCATCACCATAGCATTTGTAATCAAATAGCCACCTCCTCTTCCCATCTTTAAAACATGGACAAAACAGTAGTATGGGCTGGTTTCTATCCCTCTGTCCCTCCAAAAAGGCTTTGCATTCCCGAGTGTTACAGGATCAAAGAGAAAGGTCTTATATATCTACCCCACTTTCACTTAACAGGACCTAGATTTTAAAATTTCCCATTGTTTTATGTGAACTGTAAGTTTAGAAAAGTGAGTCTGCTCTCTGTGCGTGGACATATACTGTTCCTAGCACAGGGTACACGTTTCCTCATTATAATTACTCAGTGAAAGTACTCACATTTAGAAATTATTTACCTTCACAGGTTTTCTATTACCCCAGGACCTAGGAGATGTAGGTAGTTTTAAAAGATCCTAAATGTCCTCACCAGGTCAAACTCTGTTATTTGAAAGTTTTGTTTTAAAAAAAAAAAAAAAAAAAAGAAGCTTTTCTGCCCTGGCTGGTTTTGCTCAGCAGTTAAAGCATCAGCCTGTGGACCAAAGAATTGCAGGTTTGATTCTGGTCAAGGGCTCATACCTCAGCTGGGGTTCATCCCTGGCCCTGGTCAGGTTATGTGATGTGGAGGAAACCAGTTGATGGCTCTATCACATCGATGTTTCTGTCTGTCTGGCTCTCTCCCTCCCTCCCACTCTATCTAATGATAAATAGAAAAATATCCTCGGGTGAGAAATAAAAAAAAAATAATAATAAAAGATCTTAAATGTCCTCACCAAGTCAAACAGTGTTATTTGAAAGTTTTGTTAAAAAAATAGCTTTCCTGTGAGCATCGGCCCTCAGATCAGTGAGTCCTGGGTTCGATTCCACTTGTGGTTCATCCCCAGCCCTGGTTGGGTCATGTGGGAGGCAACCAGTCAACGTTTCTCTCTCTTCCTCCCTCTCCCTTCCTCCACCTCTATCTGATGATAAATAGAAAAAAAAATATTCTCGGGTGAGGATTAAAAAAAAGCTTTCCTGACAAACCTAAATCTAACAGACTAAATGTTTCTTACTTCCAAAATATTTAAAATGTAAAAAGTCTTTGCAATAGTCTCAAAAAGATAAGTGAATATTAGCTACTTTTGCTTAAAGTGAATGCAACTTCTGTTTTCAGGAACTCCTGTAATGGGTCATAAAAGACCTTATATTAACTTTAGATAAATAATGGAAAAATGAGATAATGTTATTACAATAATAATAAAAGTTAATATTTGAATGCTTACTATGGGCCAGGCATGGTGCTAAAGGACTCTATGTATCTTATCTTCTTTAATCCTCTTAACCCTGTTATCGTGCCCATTTTATAGATTCTGGGAACCTCAGAGAAGCCAAGTTGTCTAAAATCACCTGTGAAAAATGGAGCCCGGCTTTAACTAGATCTCTACAAGTCTACAGTACTCTCTCTAACACTACACCAAATGGCACCCTGAAAGTGAAAGATGTTACATCTATTTTGCTGACCACGATGCTAAGGCTTGGGCTACATGTAAATCATTTTTTAATTCAGCAATACCTTTCCAGGTACGCTAGGATCCACATTTTCCCAAGGTTCTGGATTTCTTTTTCGATCAATGCTAAAAATAAAAGAAAACCAATTAAATGTTAAGTAGGTGAATTTAAACCAAATCTGAGTTGGGTCTACAAGCATGCTAGGGGCAGATCCAGACCTCATGCTATGACTTTCATCTGTTAGTTAACTGCAGTTGTGGAAGATTCCTTAAAGGAGCTTCATTCACGATTTGGCTTAAACCTTAGGGATTAATCCCTCTGCAGGGTAGGAGGTCTGCATTCCATTTATTGGGCTAATTGGAGAATGTTCTCATCAAGTGAATAGCAACAGGGGTGGAAGTCCAGGCTAAGAGGAAGTCAAAATGTTCTTGCCTTAAGACCAACAGAGGAGCTGGGCTTGAGCTCTGTGGGTGGTGAAGGGCAGGGCCCTGGGCCCCTCTGCCACAGTTGCCCTTTCCAGCCCTGCGCTGGGCCAAGCTCAGTTTCAAGTCTCTCTTTCTCATATTCCAGGACACATGGTATTTTACCTTATTATACTCACAGCTGAGATTAGAGTTATTGCAAACAACTAAATCTACAAACTCTACCACATTAGGAAAGATCTTTCTAGTAAACTGAAATATTTAAATTTCATTAAAAATGATGATCTGTTTAATGATGTATCTCTCAAAGGACCATATAAGAATTTTACATGTCAAAACTTATGTTAAAAAAAAAAAAAAATCGAATGTTGCTGCCGGAGAAGAGGGGTCCAATGGATGAAAGAATATTCAGAATGAGGGAACAAACTGACTTCATGAATACCATCATTTAAGTCTTCTGATTTCAGATACATTCTAGCCCTGACTCCACCTTCAGAATCTGACCTTCTTTTCCTTGGGAGGGACCTAGGAATCGATAGCACACATTTCACAAGCTGAAAGTCATCCTAACATTGCTGAAAACCTTTCTATAAATCATGTCTACTTACATCACATCGGCTTTTTTAAGGGAATATACAGCAAAAGACGACGCTCCACCCGCTGCCACTGTCATGAACATCACCAAAGGAATAAGCTACAGAGAACAGGGGACGAGTAAGTATTCCGATGTTTCAATGTGAACTATTTGAAATATAACGGAATAGCTGCCCACCACCTGGTTCATCTCTAAATCAAGAATTTTAGACAAGATTTTCAATTGCTGTAAATACTCACTTCCTTCTTTTTCATCAGGAGTTTGAAAAAGTTCATGACGACCTCAGTGTAGAATGCCAAATCTAGAGGGAAAAAGGCCAAGATATTCATCAAAACTTCCCCCACGAGGACCCCACCTGGTGGGCACCCAAACGGCCGACGCGGGAGGCGGCCTGGGCGGCTCACCTGGGGCGGGCGGGGCGCCGCGCGGAGGATGCCAACGGCCGCGACCAGACGAGGCCGGGCCTCCGCTCCTTATGTACTGACCACCGCCGCTCCGGAAGGGCGGGGCCGGGCGTTCTGGTCACGGGTCGCGAGGGGCACGTAAGAACCTGACTCGTTTTCCCCACTCGACGCCCGGCGCCAGGGCGCCCCCTGCAGGCGTCGTGCCCGCAGACGCCGCGCCGTCGAATGCGGGCGCCGGCGCCCCCTGGCGTTCGTCACGGTTTTTACCCGCCGTCCGGCGCGAGCCCAGGCTGGGCGTTGGCGCTCCGGGTGGCTCCGGCCACCCCAGGCACCGGTGGAACCGAGAACACCGGAGCGCTAGGGGGTCCGGAAAAAGAGCCAGCGTCCCTCGAGGGGAAGTTCCCACGTCCAGGAAGCTACATTAGAATTAATCCAATCATACTAAAAGCTCCAAAATGTGACAGAGCGCACATAGGGAGATAATTAAGATTAAGTTGTAAGGTTCCTTTCAGAATAATTTCCATGTCCGGTTTAGTTTTTGTTTGTTTGTTTTCCCAGTAAAAACGTCAAGGGTGAAGGAGAACAACCAGAAAGAATCAGCTGAAAGGTTTCTAGAATAAAGTCCATCTCTGAGACGACCCGGTCTGCGGCCTCATCTCCAGGTCCCTTGTTAACTCACCCGCCTGGCAGCCCGCGCTGCACAGAGCGTGCGGGCAGCTGCGATGCCAGGCCAACAATGTTAACACTTCCATTGAAACAGGAGCTGTGGGCCAGACCCTGTGCCAGAGTTTTCTCGACATTTTTGCAAAGTATATTATTTAGGCTCAGAGATGCTCAAGTTACATAGCCAGTGAGTGGCAGAGTTGTCCTCAGAACCCAGGTCTGTCTGGCTCTCGACCCGCTGTTCCTTCCGCACCCCGCTTTTAACTACTGCAATGAAGCCCAGCGCACAAGCTCAGCTACTTAAAAACGATTATTTTAAAGTTCAAGCTAATAGTTAAGGTTAAAACGGAAACATCTTAATATTCCCGGAAAGGGCCAGACACAGCTCTCTTTCAACCTCATTTTACTTCTAGACATGGGCTTTGCATTCAAATAGACCTGAATTCAGAGCCCACCCCTGCCTTACTTTATTAGCTGACTGACTTCAAGGAAACCACCTAACCTTTATGAGTCTCAGTTTGTATATCTGTACACTGGGGATAAACGTAGCTCAGGAGGAAGTTGGGGAAAAAATGTTGGAATATATGCAAAGCATGTGGCATTCTGCCTTGACTATAGTAGACATTCAATTAAATAGTAACTATTATTTGCAAAGAGTTGTTTTATATAAGACAGATTATAAATGTAGCTTCTCACCCACTTATTCTGACAAGGGTTCTTACTGTGTAACCCCAGAGCTGTAACTGAAGACATTTGCCAGTTGGTTAGATTCACATCAGATAGTTAAGAAAATTCAGCATTAATTCTCCCTAGGGTGTACTAAATAGAATTAGAGAAGCCTTTTGGTGCTCCTTCTGCAGGATTTGTAAAGCTACTTTTGTCAGAAGGTTCTTTAAAAAGCTTCATTTTGTTAAAGGTAATTTTTTCCAAGAATGAAGGGTAGAAGGAAGAGAGGAAGGAAGAAATCTTTGGATATATCATGGACTGCAAATTAACATTAAAATGTGTAGTCCTTGCCCTGGCCGGTTTGGTTCAGCAGTTAGAGCGTCGGCCTGCGGTCCTGAGAGACCCGGGTTCGGTTCCCGCTAAGGGCACGTACCTCGGTTGCAGTTTGTCCCCGGCCCTGGTCGGTTGTGTGGGTGGCAGCCACTCGATGTGTTCCTTTCACATCGATGTTTCTCTCTCTCTCTCTCTGTTCCTCTCTCTCCCTCCCACTCTACCTGAACAAAGAATGGAAAAATGTCCTCGGGTGAGGATTAAAAAAAAAAAATGTGTAGTCCTAGCTTAGTAATGACCTTAAACTCAGAGCCCTGCTTTGCTGTTATCATTTCTTTTCAAAATGCAGTCCAGTTTTGTAGTAGTGTAAGTAGGCATTATTCTGAGAATGGGGGTACAGTACATTCAGAAGATTAGCAAGACATAGTCTCTTACTTCAAGGCTCTTACAATTTAGTGCCCATAAATAACTCTAACCCCAGCCCTGGCCAGTTTGGCTCAGCCGTTAGTGTTGGCCCACGGACCAGAGAGTCCTGGGTTCTGTTCCAGCTACTTGGTTGCAGTTCGTCCCCGGGGCCCACCAGCAACCAGTTGATGTGTCTCTCTCACATCAATGTTTCTCTCTCTCTTCCTCACTCTCTCCCTCCTGCTCTATCTGAAGATAAATGCAAAAAAAGTCCTCGGGCCCTGGCGGTTTGCTCAGTGGTTAGAGCATTGGCTCACAGTCCAGAGAGGCCCAGGTTCAGTTCCCACTAAGGGCACATATCTCGGTTGCAGTTTGTCCCCAGCCCCAGTTGGGGTTGTGTGGGAGACACAGCTGATGTGTCTCTCTCACATTGATGTCTCTCTCTCTCTTCCTCTCTCTCTCCCTCTTGCTCTATGCAGAAATGTCCTCCAGTGAGGATTAAAAAAAAAAAAAAAATGTCCTCGGGTAAGCATAGAAAAAAGAAAAGAAAAATAATTCTAACCCCAGGCCATTATCTGGTGCCAAAAACGATGATTAATTCTGACTAAGGGGGTCTGAGAAAACTTAACTAAAGGCGAGGGTATTTACTTGAACAAATAGACAAACCAATTGTAACATTTGAGGTGGGATGGGGGGCAATTAGGGGAACTTGGGCTATTAGGAGAACTTTATTTATTTATTTATTTATTTATTTAATCCTCACCCGAGGACATTTTTCCATTTTTTGTACAGATAGAGTGGGAGGGAGAGAGAGGAAGAGACAGAGAGAGAGAAACGTCGACGTGAAGGGACACATCGAGTGGCTGCCACCGCACGACCAACCAGGGCCGGGGACAAACTGCAACCGAAGTACATGCCCTTAGCGGGAACCGAACCCGGGTCTCTCCGGACCGCAGGCCGATGCTCTAACCGCTGAGCCAAACCGGCCAGGGCTAGGAGAACTTTAAATACCAGATATGAAATACTATTAAAGGAGTTTTATTAATTTTGTTAGGTGTGATAATGGTATTGTGGTTATGCAAACACACACACACACACACACACACACACAATCCTTTTTTAAGACTATATATATGGAAATAGTTAAAAAAGAAATATCGTGATGTCTAGGATTTACTTTAAAACACATTAATTAAAAAACATATGAAGTGCCCTGGCCAGTTTTGCTCAGCGGTTAGAGCATCGGCCCGCTCACCAGAGAGACCCTGGTTCAGTTCCCACTAAGGGCATGTACCTTGGTTGCAGTTTGTCCCTGGTCCCGGTTGGGGTTGTGTGGGTGGCAACCACTCAGAGTATCTCTCTCACATCAATGTTTTTCTCTCTTCCTCCCTCTCTCCCTCCCACTCTATCTGAAGATAAATGCAAAAATATCCTCGGGTGAGGATAAAAAAAACAACAACAAATGAAGCAAAGTTAGCAAAGTATTATTCAATTAGATGTTAAGTATATGAGAATTTGTTATTCTGTTCTACTTATATGTACATTTGAAAATGTTCAGAAATGTTCTAAAAATTAACATATTGGACATATATACTTAGATATAATGTGCTCATATAACCTTTAAGATCTTCTCATTTCTGTTGCTGCAATGTGAATCACACCCAGAAGGCCACATTTCCCTTCAGTGAATGCCGATTACTGGACTTGAAGGAGGTGCAGGTCAGTATGAAATTTGGTCTTTCCCAGGATGACTAGCAGGCACAGCTTCCACCTTTCAAACCCCAAAGGCACCCACTCAAGACACTTCACCACCTGTGGCTGCCCCAAGCTCATAATCGCGCGGGGGAGCTTCCCCTCCCCACCCCTATTGCCAGAAACTTCTAGAACCTTCTCTAGCTGCTCCAACCCTGGCTTTCAGGGACATGAAGCCATGACTGCTTGGTTCCCACACCAGGAATTTACATTTAGATTTTAGTCAGCCCAGCTCAGGCTTTATAAGAAAAATACGGTTTTATTAAATACTTTTTGTTGAAATTCTTTCTGCCCATCCTTCAGTGACTACCTAGTTACCAGGTTTAGCAAATACTGGATTCGCTCAGTTCTGGCTGGTCTGGGGGTGTCCTGCCCTACTGCTGGAAGCTGTAAATGTGGCTCAGAGAGGAGTGTGCACTCCGTGTACAGGGAAGCTAGTCATACTTCCCAGGGGCTTAGAAACTGGAGTTTTCATCTTATCGCCGATTAAGAACAGCTTTTGGAAGTTGCCCAGAGCGATCCTCAAACACATTAAAACGCAGTCCAAGCCAACAGACTGGTGGTCCCAAAAGGGGAGTGAGGTAGCGAGAGGATGAAGAGGGTAAAGGGGATAAAATATCTGGTGACAGACTAGGCTTCGGTGGTGAGCACACAGTACAGATGAAGTTGTACACCTGAAGTGTATGTTACTAACCAATGTTACCCCAATAAACTTAATTAAAAAGTTAATGAAAAGAAAATGGAGTCAAAGAGATCCTTGGTCTGAGTTTGTCGTTTATTAAGTATTTCAATGAGAGAAAACTTATGGCTTTTGTCTTCAGGGGGCTTCCAAAGTTCTGATGAGAAGTTATTTACAATTTTAAAAGACATTTTCAAATTGAAATTCAGCCTCTAACTGAAGTGTGGGTACTAGATTTCCAGCCTGACCACTAGAAACTTATTCTAGGAAAAAACAAGGGGCCTACAGCCGAAGTCTGAGTGAAGGGGTTCCAGCCAGGGTGCCTCTGGCCAACGGATGGCAAAGGCTGAACAGCTGCCCTGTCCTAGAAAATCAATGAACTGATAGAGAATGAATGAAAACTGTCAGAAGTCTAAGAAGTTTTCTAGGTATTTTCCCTACTTCTCAAAAGTAAGGGGTCAGTTTGTTAGAATAATGTTAGATGAATTACATGTTATACCTATGAATAAGTTAATTATTCCCCAAATAGTAAGGTTTTGCTTAATGAGTCCTGGCTCGTCAGAAATAGAAAACTTCCAGCAACTTAACATTTATGACTTCGTATATTTCATGCACTATGCTCTGATCATACCCTTAACTCTTTTGGTTGTATGTCATTCCTGCATTTGTCTGAGCCCTGCGCTCCCAGCTGGTCTGTTAGTGCCAGGTTTGTCTCCTTCACTTATACTTGTGAGTGAAGACTCAGTGAGATGCTTACCCGATTACTGTTAGGTGAGAAAAGTTACATAGTACTATGTCTTATCTATACATGCATAAGGGGCTTGAAGGTCAAATACCCAAGGGTTTTCTTTGGGTTTATCTGTATTTTCTAGCATTCTAATTACTTTTGTAATAATGGAAAATAAAACTTACATATAATCTATCTCCTTAAAAATACTTATAATTACAAAATGAAAAATAGTAGCTATACAGTGGAGAAACTGGACAAGTCCATAAACAAGTGATCAAAATTAACATGACCTATACAGACATCATGCACTTTTTTTTTTATCCTCACCTGAGGACATTTTGCATTTATCTTCAGCTAGAGCAGGAGAGAGAGAGGAAGAGAGAGAGAGAGAGAGAGAAACACTGATGTGAGAGAGACACATCGACTGGTTGCCACCCATACGACCCCAATCAGGGCCGGGGACAAACTGCAACCGAGGTACATGCTCTTAGGGGAAACCAAACCCAGGGCTCTCTGGTCCGCGGGCCGACACTCTAACCACTGAGCCAAACCGGCCAGGGCGATATCACGCACTTCAAGCTGTGACCTTTGTGGACACAACAGCACTTGCTCCACTGGCAATGCCCAACCTGAATCTGTCATCGTGTGGTATCAGATCAAGAATCGTTCTATAAAATAGTCTGTACTCTTCAAAAATGTCAAGGTCAAGCAAGACTGAGGAACTGTTTCAGATTAAAAGAGGCTAAAGAGTAAAGAGAAAGGACAACTAAATGGAACAGGATCCTAGTCTGGATCCTGTAATGGAAAAAAATGACTATTGGCACAATGGATGAAAGTCATGGGATGATAGATTAATATACTGTATCAATGTTCAACTTCCTGAATTTGATAAATGCACTGTGGTCATATAAAAACCTTACTGTATTTGTAAAAAATATACATTGAAGTATTTAAGGGGATGAAGGGGCATGAGGTAATAATATCTATTCTTAAATACAGGCGTACCTTGGAGATACTTCAGGTTCGATTCCAGACCATTGCAATAAAGTGAGCATCACAATAAAACAAAACGAGTTGTAATCTTTATGCTGGTGGAGGGTCTTACCTTCAATTTGTGAAAAGGCAACATCTGTGAAGCGCAATAAAGCGGGGCACAGTGAAACGAGATGTGTGTTCAGCGTGTAGCAAATGTTAAAAAATGGTGACTATGGGTTAAGAATATATTAGTTCTTTGTATTATTCTTGCAACTTTTCTGTAAGTATGAAATTATTTCAAAATAAAGGTAAAAAAACAAGCAATCGAAACCAAGCAAAAACCACCTCCCCCAACTACTAAATCAACACACATACATATACTTTCTTCCTAAATTATTCCTTTTAGAAACAAGATGAATCTTGGCTTATCAGCCACATGTTTGGTTTTCTTTATTTACAGGAAATAACATATACACAGACTCTAAAAGTGAAGCTGCAAACGACAGTGCAAGTGCACATTTCAACGGACCCTTGAGCAGGTATGTGATTCTTAAACATCCTCTACGTTAGAGAATCCTTGTTTCTGAAACAAGTTTTTATACAAAGTCAAATCCTTGTGACTTAAGGATGGTTTCACAGTCTTAAGTGATTTTAGAAAGTGCTCCTGTTTCACTGCGGTTGCTTCTAGGCCATCTTCTTGCAGAGCCAGCAAGGCAGCCTGTGAGAGACAATAAGACACAGTTTGCTTGGTTTTTGTTTTATAATAAAGTCTGAATGCAAAAAATCTCAGTCTCACTTCACAGAATTCCAATATTCATGACAATAAAAACATTAAGCAAAAAAATTACTGATGAAAAGTCTTATTTATAGAACCTTTCTTCTACATTAAACTCTGGCCTTAAATGGGCAAAAATGAAAAAGCAAGTTGCAGAATAATATATATATTATGAGCCCATATATATTCTTTTTTTCTGAGAAGGAGAGAAACATTGACATGAGAGCTACACATCAACTGGCTGCTTCCTACACAACCCCAACTAGGGCCAGGGATTGAACTGCAATGGAGGTACCGTGCCCTTGACCAGAATCAAACCCACAACTCTTTAGTCCACAGGCTGACGCTCTAACCATGAGCCAAACCAGCCAAGGCTTTTTCCCCCCAGGGAGAGAGAGAGAGAGAGAACCATATACATGTTTAAAGATGGGAGACTATCTTGCTGACCTCAGACTAGGAGTTTCTAAACAGGACATAGCACTGACCATGAAGAAACAGAGCAAACACATACTTTACGACCCAGTGATTCTCTTCGTACATACATACATACGTGAAACAGACACACATGTATACCAATAGCCATATACAAGATTATGCATAGCAGCATAGTTCATAATAGCAAAATAATAGTAACCTGAATGTTCAGGAGTGGTTTCCTTAGGGATAGAGAATGGAAAGGCCCAAAGGACGCTTCTGAGGTTCTGATAATGTTCTTTCTTAACCTGAATGGTGTTCACTTTATGTTAATTCAATGAACTGTATTCTTATGATCTGTGCATCTTTCTGAATGTTATATTTTATAGAAGTTTATAGAAAGAATATATGTACCCCTATGTCCCTTGTAGCATTATTTACAATAGCCAAAATATGGAAGCAACCCAAGTGCCCATCAACAAAGAGTAGATAAAAAAGCTGTGGTTAAAAAAAAAGAAAAAAAAGCTGTGGTGCATATACAGAATGGAATATCACTCAACCATAAAAAAGAATGAAATTTTACCATTTGTGACAGTGTGGGTAGACCTAGAGGGAGGGTATTATACTAAGTGAAATAAGTCAGTCAGAGAAAGACAAATACCATATGATTTCACTTATATGTGAAATCTAAAGAAAATTAATGAACAAACAAAACTGAAACAGACTCACAGATACAGAGGACAGACTAATGGTTGCCCAAGAAGAGGGGGGCTGGGGGACTGGGTAAAAAGAGTGAAGTACAAATTGGTAGTTACAAATAAGTCACAAAGATTCAAAGTACAGCACAAGGAATATAGTCAATAATATTGTAATAACTTTGTATGGTGCCAGGTGTGCCCTGAAAATATACTTTGTAAAGTATGACTGTCTAACCACTATGCTGCACACATGAAACTAATACAAAATAATACTGAATGTAAACTGTAATTGAAAAATAAAATAATAATAAATTTACTTAAACTAAAAAAAACAAAGTTTATGGAAAAGGAAAACTGGACAATGGCTTCTGTTGCCTTCAAGATAAAATCAAAAGGCCTTAAAGTGGCTTACAAGGACCTGAGTGATCTGGCCACTGTCCACTTCAACAATGTCATGTCATTTCTCATCTCCAATCACCTGCATATTTCATTCCCTCTAACTCAAACAACCCCCTTCCCTCCTTAGTCTGCTAACTCCTTCTCCATCCTCCCAAGTTCAGACACACACCCAGTCCCAGAAAGCCTTCGATGATGCCCAAGTCTGGGATGGTGTTCTTCCTAGCTGCTTCCACAGCACCCTAAACTTCCGCAACTCACTACATCGTGTCAGCTGCCATTCAGTGTTATGATTTGCCTCTGCACACTGCCCCCAGCCTATCGGCTCTACGAGGGAAGGGGCTGCATCTGGCTGTCTCGCCCTGCCTGGTGCCTGCCACATGGAGGTCTTTCAGTAAATACTGCCGAGTAAATGAAGATCTGAATAAAGGAAGAAATGTTTTGAACCACAGATTACTTCACTAATTAACTTACTTCTTTGCAGAGGTTTCCAAGATCAGCTCCAGAGAAAAAACAGGTTTCTGCTGCCAGGTTTTCTAAAGAAACATTAGGCCCCACTGGCATGTTTTTTGTACAGACTTTCAAAATAGAAAGCCTGCCCTGGAACAAAATACAATAATATTTTTAACCTTATAACATTTATGTTTGACAGATGCTATATTAAAAAAAATTTTCAAGTTATAGTTTTGTATATAAATACATATATATATATATATATATGAAAAGGTGAGAAAATTAACTATCTCATCAGTGGCTCATATGACAATGGTAAAAATAATGACATCATGATAAAATTTTAATATTTTTATAGTTGATTCTTAAAATAGCCAATCATAGATATATCTCTTTAAGAGATATGATGAATTTCTCTCTCAGTTACAAACAGTGCCATCGGACATGTTTAAAAGTAAATACATGAACTATCAAACACAATTTAAAAATATAACAGACATTTAAAATTTTTTTCTCATCCCTTCAAAACTTGATAAAAGTCCAAGGAAGGAAAAAAATTCATTCTCTGTGTCTTTCAGAACTCCCTGCCAGTGGCCCTGGATGGTAAGGGCAAAGAATCCACTGGTTCTTTGGCTATGGATACATATGACCCACACAAGACCCCAAACCCTTTAACACTAGGATTCCTCCATTCTAGTTGCAAAACAGTGGCGAGTAGACTCACTCACTGAAATAAGTACCTTACTTTTTTTAGGCTTATGCTGCTCTGAAAATAGGGACCAAGTACCCAGAAAAAGCAGATCAAAATGATGATTTATCAAGGGCCACCAGGCAAGGAAGAATGCAGAACCCAGTGTACAACACATACCATGTTAACCCACATCCCGTTTGGAAGTCAATTCTGCCAGGTTCCCCAGAGTTCAGACACTGGTATGTTGTTAAGAACTTTCACACAGAGTAAATGTGTACAGTGATTACCTTTTCATCTGGAGGTGGAATATAAATGATCTTATCTAATCTTCCAGGCCGTAGCAAGGCATCATCTAACACATCTGGTCTATTTGTTGCCGCAACAATCATGACATTTTGATTAAAAACTTCTTGACACTCTAACTGAGGAAAAACACACAACACAAAATAATGTCAATAAATTATTAATTATTAAATTTATTTTTTTCAAATTACAAATCAGAAGTTCCATTTGTTTTTAAACAGGGATACCTTTTTCTTGGGAATGGGGTGCTTCTTATACCTCCTATCGAGACTACCTGCTCAATATCAAGATACTCCAGAAACAAATAATTAATCAAAGAGCTACTTGTGCACACAATGAAGGGAGCAGTCGGTCACTCATGAGGGAACATCTCTCCATGGAAAGTCTTATTCAAGCAGAAAACATCTAAGTGGTATCTGAGGGTACCTGAGCCTCAGAGAATGTTTACCCTTAAATGGATGACTTGAAAAGACGGAAGCATATGACAAACACATGGAGATGTATGGCAATGAAAAGTCTTCACTCTTGTCCTTAAAGAGAAAGATGTACTTTACTTTTTATTCTTCCTTCCAGAGGCAGAAATAGGACAATCTAAGTTGCAGGTATATAAACCCTGGATGCAGATAAGAAATATCTAAAAGCAGCCAGGGCAGAGCCTTACACTGAGCATGCAAAATTGTGTGTTGAACTGAATAATCAGAGTAGCTCTCTAGTAACGTGACCTCTCAAAGTAGTGAGTTCCCTGTATCTGCAAGTATTTTAACTGAGGCTGGATAAACACCAGTAAGATGCTATAGAATAATTCCTGCATTATGAGGACAGTTGATTAGAAAACTTCATGGGTCCTTTCAAATTCTAGTGGCACATGTTCCTAAGGAGCTGTAAGACTCTCCTTCTATGGGACAGTTTTTAAAATGCAAAATAAGTAATAACAAGAAAAGAAAAATTATCTCTCAGCGGTTATTGGACTATTTAAGGATACCAAACTTTATCTGGAGAATACTCAGAAGGGAGGAAGAGGACTTCCAAAGGTCATTTTAACTTCATTATAACCAAGGAACCCCTTCCTCAGGGAAGCTGGAAGTTTTCAATTACTAAGATTATTGAAAATAGTAATCTGTTTCATTTCCCAAAAAAATAAGTTTGGCAAGGGATGGACACTGGTTTTTCAGTATATAAAGAGAAATCCCTTTCTCCATTAGCAATATGTAAAGTTATATTTCTAAATCTTAGAATAAAATTCACATTTTTATATAGCTAAATTATCAAATTTACCACACCTTTTCCAACTAAATCACAATTTTACCAGCTTTGTAAATATCCTAACAGAGTCCAGCTGAAATTATATGGTTCTTTCAATGGGATGACCCAGCTCAGGGAAAGCTGGTGTGGACGCATTCTCTTTAATGTTGGCCTGGATTTTTGGTGGAATCTGGCTAATAAATACCTCTTCATTTTTTTTCAGCTCCTTGTATTTACCCTGTTGATCTGATTTACTTCCTCTTCTCTCGATAGTTTTCAGTCCAACACCATCTAATTCGTTCAGGAGAACAGAAAGAACACGCTCTTGAACATTACATCCTGCTTTGCTGACTGATCGAGAGCCCACGATTGAATCAATTTCATCCAAAAACACAATTGCTGGAGTGTTTGCTCTTGCTTGCTGAAACACCTTTTGTTAGGAAAATAAAAATATTAAAAAGCTACCTATTATGCCTTATTCATGTGAATGTATGTTTTCTACATAACTATTTTTACAATGTAAAAAGAAGAGAAAGGTCCTAAATGTCTAAGAATTGGGAAACAAATAGAACTGGGAACAATGGAGTATTATGTAGGGGTTAAACATTTGCAAAATATTTTTGATATTATGAAATTTAAAAAGTGATAATGTTAAGTTTTTTAAAAATCACAGTAAAGTATATATCTCCTGCCTAAGGAAACAAAGGCAAAAGAAATTCACTAACGTTAATGTAGGTAGAGGGATTATGAAGGATTTCTTATTTACATTTTTTCTGTACTTTCTAAATTTTCTATAAACAAGTATGTATAGGAAGTTACAATTTTTAAAATAAGGCTTATCCTTAAGGCATGAGAATTCAAAAGTAAACTTAACTACATAGAGGAAAATACACAAACAAACCTGAGACAAGAGTTTTTCTGAATCTCCAACAAAAGGTGAAAAGAGATCAGCCCCACTCACTGAAACAAAGGAGCAATGACAGCTTGTGGCCAGAGCCCTCACCAGGGTGGTTTTAGCACATCCAGGAGGGCCATATAGGAGAACTCCCTTTGGTTGGGTCAAGCCCATCCTGACAAATTCGCGAGGGAATTTCAGAGGCCATTCAATGCTCTGTAAGTACACAAAAAGAGACAGTCATTCTAGTATAACAGTAAAACATCAAATAATTCAGTAAATTCATTTGTTCGTTCCACAATTCTCAGGTGCCCGTTATGAGCTAGAACGCGGTCCATTCTCACACAGCAGCTGTTAACATTATAACCTAAGTCAGGACAAATCACTTCCTTCTTAAAATCCTTTAATGGATAAATTCCAAATTCAAACTCCTTCCTTACCACTGCTTACAAGGCCTTACATAGCCTGACTATTGCCCAAACACCCCAGTTCATTCCCATCCCAGGGCCTTCACCTGCTATTCTCTGCCTGAACACTCCCTCAAGATCTTTGTGTGGCTATCCCTCATCACTCAGGTCTGAGCTCAAAGGTCATGTCCACTCTAGTTATAGCAGACCCTTCTCCTCCTAGTCACTCTACACTACTGCCCTCTTTTACTTTTGGCCCATTTATTCATACATTATCTGAAATTATTATTTTTCCATGTTGGGTCTGTCATTCTACTTATGCTAGAATGTAAGCCAATTTCACCTCTAAAATCCCCAGCAACTAGAAGGACACCTTCACAAAGTAGGCACTCAATACGTGTTAACTGGATAGTAAATGAATCTTCACTACCCCTTAGGTAGATAATTTTACAGATGCTGAAACTCAGGTGTAGAAAAGTTAAGTAACTGGCCCAGGGCTTATTGCAGGTGAGCAGCAAAACTGAGAATGATCCCAGGCAGTGCAGATCAAGAGCACAAGCATTTAACTACTGATACACAGTCAAACTCTCCCATCTCAAACAATTCACTCTCAACCTGACATCCTTTTCATGCTGATACCTGTATGATCAGTCCCATGTCTCTCAGGCAATAAACAAAGGAGAGAACGAGTCAATTAACCACTGTTAATATCTCAGGATATGGTGCTATGAATATTTTTGTGATTTCTCTTTTTTTTGCTTTTGTTGCTGATTATTAAATTTTCATTTTTTTACTGTACATTTCATTTTATTTTTATTAAATTTTCATTTACATTTCATGTTCTTTTTGTTTTTAAAGTGTTTATAAACTAAGCAGCACATTAGGCATGTACTGTATATAAGAAAGGTTAAAACAGGAAATCATTTGGGGGTCTGGAATGGATTAATTCAATTTACATTACAGTGATACCTCGGTTCTCGAACGCCTCGGTTTTCGACCAAATCGGTATTCAACCAGGAGATTCGAGAAACTTTTGTCTCGGAATCCGAACAAATATTTGGAACTCGAACTTCCGAGATGAGCCGAGTTGAGCCGAATGGCGTTCATTCGGCCCAGCGCGCCTTGCTTGCATCATCAGTGTGAGTGCAGAGAGAGTGTCACGCTTTGTGGAGTCACGCTTTCCTATTGGGTTTCATTGCTTCGGTTCTCGAACAATTCGGTTCTCGACCGTCCTCCTGGAACGAATTATGTTCGAGAACCGAGGTATCACTGTATTTCTAATGTTAAAAAACGGTTCCATTTTTGAAGAGCGTTCTGGAATGAATTAAGTTTGAGAACCAAGATTCCGCTGTATTGCCTGTCTACAAAAAAGTGATAACAAGACCTTCAGACCTGGGCAACTCATATTTTAATTAGGGAGACAGGCTTGTAAACTAACAACTGGGCCAGAGAAGGGCATTCCATGCAGAATAAATAATACATACAGAGACACGAAACCAACTAACTCAGCCCGCCAACAGTAAGCAGACACAAAGGGGAGGATGGGGGAAGCCAGGAGCAATAGAGCTGAAATGGAAGGAGGAGTCAGATCACAATGGACCATGAAGTTTCAGGCAACATTGAGGAAGTAGTATGGACAATGGACTGGAAGGAAATGAAACTAGAGGCAGGGAGACCAGTTCAAATTCTCCTGCAATGATTCAGACTACAAAAATAATGAGGCTGGACGGATGTGTCACAGGCAGTGGAGATGGGTGGGGAAGGGATGGATTTGAAACATAAAATGCAAGGAACTGAGTTCTAAACCCAGAGGAAAGTGCATACACGATGTGACCCTATGCATTCAGGAGACAAGTTTCTGACTTGGGGATGGGGGGGCTGCTGTCTTCACTGAGGTAGGGAATCCAGGTGTGGAGGTGGCGTTAAGCAGATGAACTTTGAACAAGCTGAGTTTGAGATCCCTGGAAGTTATTCCGTAGAGGCAGGCAGCTAAGTTTTGACAGTCGAAAGAACTATCTGTGCGGGATATAAAGGTTGATGAGTTAACAGCTGTCGGGGGACAACTGAAGCCTTGGACACACTCACAGAATGCAAAGAGAGCCCTGGCCGGTTTGGCTCAGCGGTTAGAGCATTGGCCTGCGGTCCTGAGAGACCCGGGTTCGGTTCCCGCTAAGGGCGCATACCTCGGTTGCAGTTTGTCCCCGGCCCTGGTCGGTTGTGCGGGTGGCAGCCACTCGATGTGTTCCTTTCACATCGATGTTTCTCTCTCTCTCTCTGTTCCTCTCTCTCCCTCCCACTCTACCTGAACAAAAAATGGAAAAAAATGTCCTTGGGTGAGGATAAAAAAAAAAAGAATGCAAAGAGAGGACTCCCGGGACCTTGGAGCACTAACAATCAAGGTACAAAGAGGAATGTTCAGGAAGGCAGGAAAGCTTAACATCTCAAAGCTAAAGAGTTTTCAACAGGAAGATGTGGCTAATCTCACATTTTGTGAAGATTAAATGTGACAATGTGTGTAAAAAATCAGGGCATATTATAAATGTGCCAGAGTTCACTGCAGATATAGTTCCTAGTTAAGATGAATAAATGATAATTGATACTTACAAATCAGTCTTTTTGTGTGTGTGGTTAGAGAAACCTAGTTCCTTCTGGCAGAATGTCTGGAAGGTAAGCTGGCAAAATCAATTTCTGAAACTGCAAAATTCAAGCAAGAGGATCTAGAGAGTTGTGTCCCTCAGCATCCACTGTGAGATCCAGGCCACACTGACTGTTTATTATAATGCTGTGCTTTTACCAGTCCTGGGGCAAAGTAAGGCCCACAACCGAAGTATTTGTATAGCCCATGAACTAAATAATTTTTACCTGTTTTAATCATCGGAATAAAATCAAGACTTTTATGATGTGAAAATTACATGATTTCAGTGTCTATAAAAAAAGTTTCAACAGAACACAGGTACTCACTGTGCACTGCCTGTGGCTGCTCTTGTGCTTCGGCTCCTGAGTGGTGGCAACAGAGGCAGTATGGCCCACAAAGCCTAAAATATTTACTACCTGGCCCTTTACAGAAAAAGTCTGCCAACCCCTGTTCTAGATTATAAACTCTTTAAAGCAAAAAACCACAAACAAACAGAGGATGAGGTAGGAAAGCATGAAAAATAGTATTTGCTGCCTACAGAAGTCCAGTTGAATAAGGACTGAAGAGTGATCACTGGATTTAAATGTTAGGGTAGAATTAGTGAAGGCAGCAAGAGGCATTTCAGCGTAGCTTGTTTTCATCATACATACATGACACTTAAACTGTTAATAGTCTGCTGGCTTAAGCAGATTCTCTATCTTACCTGTTTTAACTTCAGTTTTACATCTTCAAGGCCACCAATCTGCTCCCAGCCAACAGGCTTGATATCCATCAGTCCAATGACACTTCGAAATGATGAAGGTTGAATCTTTTTAAAAGCTTCAAGGAAGTCTGTTTCATAAATCATTGGATTGTCCTGGTTCTGAAGAAATTTACCAAAAAAGCAAAATTAAACCAAAAATGAGGTGAGACATTTTTGCATAATTACTTTTTTTATCCTCTTCTGAATTTATAAATCTATTTTCTTATCATTATTAAAATATTTATACGTATTTATACATACAAAATAATTAAACCTGTCCAACATTCATCTCTAAAGCTGTGGGCAGTTTCTCCCCATATGCTCTATAATAAGCATGTGTATATCCTTTCAAACAGATAACATAAATGGACCATACCATGCATATTAATTTGTACTTTTTCCCACTTATCTTAGAAATCTTTTCATGTCAACTAATATAGCTCTACCTCCCTTTTTGGCCATTGCCTGACACACTACTGTATGTGTGTAACAATTTAACTACATCCTTCTGTTGAACATTCGTTTCTAGTTGTTTGTTATTAAAAACACAGCTGAAACAACTGGAAGTCCTTGTGTACATGTCAAGTATTTTATATCATTTCCTTGAAGCAGAATTACAGGATTTAAGAGAATTACATTTACAGTTGTGACAGTTACTACCAAACTGTCCTCTAAGCTGCACCAATGACTACAAAGCTACTGCTCTCCCCACACCTCTCCAACACTGGGCATTACCAAACTTTTAAATTTCTCCCAATGTGACACAGCAAATGGGGCTCACTACTGTGGTAATTTAATGTCTTTAATCAAGAGTGAGATAAAGGGAGTGAAGGAATTAGAAAATCACCTTTTTTGAAACCATCAGAGTAAAGGCCTCTTTGAGCAAGAATCATTATTGGAGTCTGATCCAAGGGAGGGAAAGTCTGATGAGGAGCCGGATATCTGCATGATCTCAAAGGGTCTCCTCACAGATCTATTAGTTACAAAGGGAGAGACAGCAACTACATAGTGAGAAACTGGACAGAACCTTGACTGGATAATCACATCAGTCACCACTTAGGGACATCATCAATGAGGGACAGCGGACACCTTGTGCCTCCACATGTGATACCCTAGGAAAGACACACTATCACTTAGGTAGTATTCTCAACAGGCATGCATGACCTGAATCTATGAAAGAAACATAAGGCAAACCCAAACTGAGAGGCAGTCTATGAAATCCTTAAAAAATTTCAATGTCAAATATCTCACCAAAAAAAAGGTTATGGGTGTGTTCAAGATTAAAAGTAAAAGCTAAGTGTAATATATTATTCTAAACTAGATTCTATAACTGAAGGGGAAAAAAATGCTAAAAATATTGTAACTATTACCAAAATCAGCATATGGACTGTGGATTTGATAACATTTTGTATCAATATTAAATTTCCTGAATATAATGATTAACTATACTGTGGTCATGTATGAGAATATCCTTGTTGTTAGGAAATAAACATTAAAATAGTAAGGGGTAATGGGGTTACTATGTATGCAACCCATCCTCCTCAAATGATTCTGAAAAAATGTGTACACATATACATACATACAGAGAGGAGAGAAAGAGAGAGAGAGAGAGAATGATAAAGCTAATTGGGCAAAATGCTAAAAACTGGTGGATCTGGATAAAGGATTTAGCAGGAGTTCCCTGTCTTACAACTGTCCTTAAAGTTTTACTTATTTCAAAATAGAAAGTTAAGAACTGAAAGAGACTAATCTTTTAAAGAGAATTTTTCATGTTTATTGGCTGTTTGTAACCCTGTTCACACCTTATTACCCATTTTTCTCTTGGATTGTTTGTCTTTTCTTATTGAAATATGAGAGTTCTTTATATACCCAGGTAATTGGTCTTTTTGTCATGGGCTAAAAGCTGTTCTCCCAATCTGTCTCATGTCTTACCTTTGCTTATAGTATTGCTTTGCCATTCCACAATGGTCACATTAGTAAATCATTTACTGTTTGGCTATTAGGTTTTATGTTATGCTAAGAAAGGCCATCTTTATGCTAAAATTATATTTTGGAGAAGACTTCTAACAATTTCCTTAATCACTCTAGTGAAGCAGATTTTTTGTTAGAGTAAAAAACTCATATTCTGCCCTGGCCGGTCTGACTCAGTGGTTGGGAGCGTCATCCTGTGGACCAGAGAGTCCTGGGTTTGGTTCCCGCTAGGGGCACGTACCAAAAAAAAACAAAAAAAAACCCACCAAAATCTCATATAACTATTTGTAATATCTCTATTGGATTGGCCTCTTATATCAAATTCTGCACATTTACTTGTCCAAAAACTCCCATTTTCAATAACAAACAATTGTATCCCATTTACATAAAAATATATAACTGAATATATATGTATAGAACAATTCTGAACAGCGTGCCTAAAAAATGTTAATAATTACGATCTCTGGGGAGAGATTTCATACAATTTTTACTTTCTTTATCATTTTTTATCTTGTTTAATTTCTTATAAAGAACACTATTAAATGATTAATGTTGTTTGTTTGTTTGTTTAATGGCTGGCAGTATTAGATGCTAGGTACCTGAATACCAATTAATTTTTAGGTTACACCTACTAACATTTGAACATCCCACCTATATTTCAAGATCACTTGTGTGTGCATTATTTCCCTTGATTCTCATAATCCTCTCAGGCAGATAAAATTCTTTTCCCTCTGTGTGTATATGTATATGTGTTAAACTAAATTTCTCATCCTTCAATAGGAACTTCACAAAAAGCTGAACAAACTTTAACGTGTCCCTTGTCTGCGCTGGCACAGACAGAGGCGTAGCAGCCCCTCAGCTGCCTGGAGGAGGAAAGAAGAAAAAGATGGAGCCAGTACCTCTCCAGATGCCTCTGTCCCTTCTTCCTTTTTGCCTTTCCTCTTCCACTTCCCCTGGTTGTTTATGAACTCAGCCATCACCTGTGGTAACTATGCCTGGGCAGGCCCCTCCTCAAGTAGCACTGGGCTCCACCCTAGGATGACAGCAGCTGGCTGGTACACCTAAGCCAAGGTGCTTAAGGTCAAACCTGGAACTTCAAAGCAGAGGGAATCCTAATTGTAAATCTCGTTTCCCATCCCTTGGTACTCTCTTCATCCCCTCAAAAGGTACATATTCTCACACCTTTATACATGGGATTTTTCATTAAATCTTCAAGCAGTTTTGGTTTTAAACCCAGAAGATGAGGACTTAAGTTTATATAACTCCTTCCCCACTGTCAGTATTAGAGTAAAATTAAATGAAAAGGAAATAAGGAAGAATACAAATTATCTAGGTAAAGAAGGTATCAAAATTTAGGATAAGTCATCCTTTTATAGTTTAAACAAACTCAAAATTGGGTTTTAAAAATTATAAGAGCAAAGGACAATGTTAATATTACAACAGAGATTAAAAACATTGTCCCAAACTCCTCATGCTGAAATTAATTTTTTTCTAAAGGGGTTTAAGAATTCGGGATTACTTATTACATACAAAGTGAACAGATATTCCAACCCATATTGTTGAAAACTATTATATTTAAGCTAATATTTTAAATATTTTTAAGAAAGGTAGTCATGAATTAAAGATTTAATGTCAAAGTCAAATTTAAATAAAATTACAGGTGCCCAATCTTTTCCTGAGTTAGATAAAGTTATTTTCCCTATAAGATATGTATTAATAACAAAGAGAAATAGTATCATGACAATGGAAAAATCTGAGATACCATCTTATCCAAGAAATCAAAGTTAATAGGACAAAGAGATACCATTTGCTACCTAATGGATACAATGAGAACACAGTACATTTCTGTGATATTCCTGCCCAAAACACAAAACCTAAATCAAATTATGAGGAAACATTAGTCAAAGTAAACTAAGGAATATTTCACAGAATAACTAACCTGTACTCTTAAAAAGTTAAAGTCATAAAAGAAAGACTGAAGAATGGTTCTAGATTTTAAAAGAATAAGAAACCATGACAACTAAATGCAGTGTGTAATCCTGGATTAAAAATAATATTTTCATTTTTCCTTTTTAAATGTTTACTCTAAAGAAAATTAGTGGGACAAATAGTGAGATCGGGGTAAGGTCTATATAGATTAGGTAAAAGTATCCTGTCAGTGTTAATTTCCTCATCTTGATAATTGTACTTCAGTTAAAGTCCTTGTTTTTAGGAAATATACACTTAAGTTTTCAAGGCTAAAGGGGCATCATGGCTGTAGTATATTCTCAAATGTTTCAGATGTAAAAATATATGTAAGAAAGGATGACTTATCCATATATGGAATGTATCAAAAGTTCCAAGAAAATGTACTTACCACTTTTTTTAATCCCTCAAATTAATTTGTTAACTTAATAAAAAAATTTAACATACCTTTTCACTGTGAAGTAAAGCATGCAGGGCAGCCTCCCTACAGAGTGCGGTCAGGTCTGCACCAACGTAGCCAACTGTCATTTCTGCAAGGAGGCTCAAATCGACTTGACCAGAGATGGGCATCTTTGAGGTAATCACCTGTAGAATCGCCTTTCTTTGTTTAAGTGTGGGAGTCCCAATGACAATCTATATGCAAAGCAAAAAATAATAAAGTTTACAGTTTAAAATATTATTTTTTAAATCTTCACTCGAAGATATTTTTATTGATTTTAGAGAGAGAGGAAGGGGGGTAGAGAGAGAGAGAGAGAAACATCGATGTGCCGGAGAAACAGATCATCAGATACCTCTTGCGTGTGCTATTCCACCGGTGGTGATGGACCCAGAAACCTAGGTTCGTGCCCTGACTGGTAATCAAACCTACAACCTTTGTGGTGTATGGGACGATGCTCAACTAACTGAGTCACCCTGTGGGTCTAAAATATTTTTTATCCTCACAAACATGTACAATGATTTAGTGAGCAAATCAGTAATTATTACTATGTACTCTTAAGCATACCTTAGATTCTGAACATATGAAAATCCTAATTTTCCAGAACAGTAACACGGCCTAAAAAGTTGCATAATAAATATTACATATGTCATTTAATACGTTTTTATTTGTTATTTTTGAGACTTCACTAAATTCTAGGAGCCAGGGATACAAAAGTAAACCAGATAGTCTAGGCACTAGTCCTTATAGCGCAGATTTGGGAGAGGTACTAGATGGTGCAAGAAAGAAATACACTCAAGTTCAGAACAGATTAAGCTAAAAGTATGCAATTATCATCTGTCTCTTTAGAATCATACCACAAAGTTCAAACATCACTTAAACTAAACATTATTCAAACTATTTAATAGAAATCAATAGACTGAAGCTCATAAAACAGGACAGCTTTGAATACTCAACCTTCCTGGCAACTGAGGGAGCAACTGTGAGATAGGACGCTGGCATCCCCACAAGCAAAGATCAGTTTATATCAGTTCTGATTTAGTTCTTCCCTGCCTTCACCCTATTATTTACTTATTTATTTATTAATCCTCGCCCAAGGATATTTTTCCACTTATCGTCAGATAGAGTGGGAGGGAGGGAGAGAGAAACATCCATGTGAGAGACACACCAACTGGCTGTTTCCCGCACGTCCCTGGCCAGAGAGCTTGACCAGAGCCTGACCAGAGCCAGCGAAAAACTGAAACCCTGGCACCTGAATTGAACTCACGACTCATTGGTCCCCAATCCGATGCTCTGACCACCCAGCAAACCCGCCAGAGATTTACCCTTTTATATTTTAACACATTTATATTTAGAGGATGTCCTACTTTAAATTTTCATTCCACGCTCATTAGAGTTTACTGCGCTTGTGGCCAACCTACATCCCCTAAAAATTAACGTTACTGATTACCGTATTCTCCTTCAGGACCTGCACTATAACTAACCCCTAATGGACACCTTGGGTAAGGTCTATCTAGATTGGGTAAAAGTATCCTGTCAGAACAATTTGACTCTGAAGAAAAACACGGCCTGGCTTGCAGATCCTACACCGACAGAGAACGAACAGGGTCTTTGCATTACAAAGAGCCCCACTCAAGCCTCACCAACCTCCAAACCTAAGTGGTAAACGCCTCGGGGAAGCCAACCAGGGCCAGAAGAGGACGAGATTCCGGGGGCCTGGGGTAACTGGCCTGGCCTATTTACCTCTCGGTCAAATCTCCCGGGTCTGCGCAGCGCGGGGTCCAGCGCGTCCGGCCGGTTGGTGGATCCCACCACAACCACCTCGCGGTCTCCACTGATGCCGTCCAGCAGCGTCAACACCTGGGCCACCACGCGGCCCTCGGGGGCTTGGTGGGCGCCGCCCCGCCGGGGGCACAGGGCGTCCACCTCGTCCAGGAAGAGGAGGGTGGGCCTGCGGCTGGCCAGCTCCTGGGCACGCTGGAAGACCCGCCGCACGTTCTCCTCGGTCTCCCCGGGCCGGGCGCCCTGCAGCGCGGGAGCGCTCACTGCCAGCAGCTCCGCGCCCGCCTCCCGGACCACGGCCCGCACTAGCTGGGTCTTGCCCACTCCCGGGGGACCCGCCAGGAGCACCCCGCGGGGCACTGCTAGCCCCAGCGCGGCCAAGGTGCGGGGGTAGCGGAGCGGCAGGCGGAGGAGCTCTCGCAGCGAGTCGGCCGCCTCCGAAAGGCCCCCCAGGGGCACCTCGGGCTGCGGCTGCGCTTCCGACGGAGGCACCGCGCCGAGACCGATGCGGGTGTGAGGGGTGACCAGCCCAGCCGGATCCGGGCTGGGCACCCCGCTGACGATGTGCAGGGCAGCTACCGGGCCGGGGACGCCCGACGGAGCGGCCACCACGTGGCCCCGGGAGACGGGCCGGTTCCTCAGCATCTCCTGCGCGGCCTCCAGCACCGCGGCTGGACTCGGGGCAGCGGGGGCGCCCGCCCGCTCCCGCAACTCCGGCCACACAGTGAGGCGCCGAAGGGGTGGGCAGGGCACCAGGCGGAGGCGGCTCAAGCTGAGGCTTCCCCGGGACCCCGGCGCCCCGACTGCCGACCCGGGACTCGCGCACTGCGTATCCAGTTGCACAAACCCATCCGCTCCGTCCCGCCGCGGCCAGGCGGTGCAAAGGCAGGAGCCGCCGTCAGGCAGCGAGATCTTCACCGCCGAGCCCAAGTGCGCGCCCAAGGCACGGAAGGCTGCCGGGCCCAGGCGACAGCGCTGGGTGCCCCGGTCCTTAGTGTCTAAGGGTAGGAGCTTTAAGATAGGTCCTTCGGGAAGGGAGCCTGAGTCCGGAGCCATTGCACACGGAGGAACCTAGGCCGAGGAAAGTGGGGTAGGAATTCCCCCCGAGCCGGAAAGGCTGGTACACTAAACTTCCCGGCCGGAAGCAGGTGATGCGCATGCGCAGGAAGGAGTCACTGGCCTCTGCGTGGAGGCCACAACAGCCAATCGGAAAGTTAGACGATGCCTCGGCCCTGTGGTAAGGTTTGTCGCGGTGTCGGTATTATGAAGCACTGGCCGATTCCAGAACTTTTCCGACAGAGCCTTCGTTACGGGCGTCTGGGAGGCAGCGGAAGCTAACTGCACTGGGTCTAAGGTCTAATGACTTGGTGGTTTGGAGAGTCGCCGGTATAGCACACGTTTTCCCTGGCTCTCGGCCCGGAGCATCACACTAGAGACCAGTGTGTTTGTGAAGAAACCCCCACTGCCCCGTGGGCACAGTGTTTTGGAGTGCTCTGGTGCTAATGTCTTAGACGGCTTGCAGCAGCTGAGACGTACAGCCTTGGCGCCTCCGGTAACCCGGGTTCCAGCCTGTTGGGACGGTTCAGGCATGCCCTGCGTGTAGAAAAGCGCCAGCATACCAAGAGAAGCACAATGTAGCATTTTAAATCCCTCGAAGAGGGGAAAGAAGGAAAACCAGACCATCAGATGTATTTAGGGCACACCAATACATTCTGGTCAGATTCCTGATTTTACTCCTTTCAGTGTTTTTTTGACAACAGCTGAATCATAGCATAACCTCTTCTGTTCACGTGATGAGTGATTATTGTCTGTTTGGGGCACAGCAGTACTAAGTCCTGTATTAGAGGCGATGGCTGTCTACATTAAACCGCTTGCTATTCTCTTTCCACCTTTCCTCTCCTCTAGCCACAGGGAATTACTCTTATCAGCTAGGATACATTTCCTGTCTTTTTAAATTCTGCTCATCAAAAAGCTACAGAGTCTGGCCGGTTTGGCTCAGCCGTTAGGGCATCGGCCTGCGGTCCTGAGAGACCCGGGTTCCTTCCCGCTAAGGGCATGTACCTCCGTTGCAGTTTGTCCCCGGCCCTGGTTGGGTCGTGTGGGTGGCAGCCACTCCATGTGTCCCTTTCACGTCGATGTTTCTCTCTTCCTCTCTTTCCCTTCCGCTCTATCTGAACAAAAAATGGAAAAATGTCCTCGGGTGAGGATAAAAAAGAGCTACAAATGTTCAAAATTTAAAAATACCTTGTTTTTATCCTACTCATATCCTTCTATGTCTATTTTTCCCACCTTCACTGCAACCCCAATTTATGAGATTTCAAAATTGAGATTGCAGATCGAGTGCTTAAGTCGCTGGGGGAAGAGGGTTTTTTTTCCCTTTTTATGCAAATAGTTGACCCTTGAACAACACTAGAGTTAAGGGTGCCAACACACACACACACACACACACACACACACACACAGTCAAAAATCAGTGTATAACTTTTACTCCCCCAAAACTTAACTGCTAATAGCCTACTATTGGCTGAAAGTTTTAATGATAACATGCACACTTGATTATGCTATTTTCTTACAATAAAGTAAGCTTTTTTAAAAAAAAGGAAAGAATGTTATTAAAATAATAAGGAAGATGAAATACATTTACAGTATTGTATATATATATATATATATATATATATATATATATATTTTTTTTTTAATCTCCATATACGTGGACCTGGGCAATTCATACTGGTGTTGTTTAAGGGTCAACTGTAATCAACTGCAGACTCTATAGCTATGTCTTCTCAGTGAAAAGTAAGTCAGATCTGGGATCTCAAGACTAATTCCACTTCCTGGCCTCACTCTACCCAAACGTCGGGACAGACACTATGACTGACTTCTGGATTCCACAGTCACTTATCTTATCTCTGATGTATGTTTCCAGCTCCAGTGCTAGAACAACTTAAAAGGAATCAGAAAATAACATACCAAGAAGAGGTCCTGAAATAGCTAATTCACCTATTACATCCTATTTTATTCTTTCTCTTAACCTTATTGGCTTCTGTTCTCTTTGGAGAACGAAGACTCCAAACTCAGACTTTTCAAGAACAGTTTTATATTTTCTGAAATAAAAAACCTATATGACTGATTCCTGAAGATGTGAATAAAATGCCCACCAACTTGTTCTGTAATGATGCCTGTAGCTCACAGAGGTTCTTTTATTCTGGTTCCAAGAAGCTTTGAGGATCCAAAAAAAAAAAAAAGGGTAAGAAGACTTAATGCAGACATAACTGTCTTAAATATGTACAGGACTGTTATGTATATTTATGTATATCTATAGTGCAGAACTGGCCAGGAAGTGAAAATTTAATGGCATGAACATAAAAGTCCTCATATTTTTAGTCTGGTCATATGGAGGAGGGAGGAGACATTTTATAAGACACAGCCAAAAGCATAACCAAAGCCAACACAAGGAGGCAAATAAAGTTAAACCAAAATTTGTTTTCTGCATTTGTTTTAAACAGATATAAAGTCTGCGATATTAGGGATATGATACAGAAGAAACAACATGGTGCTTTGGGTCGGTCTGAAAGGTTGACTTTATACAAGGTCAAACTATAATTCTCTGATCTTGTAGGACACATATACCCAAAAAATAGTCACTTCACCCTTTCCCTAAAAAAACTTGATATGTCCAGTTCTCACCTTAGAGCAACCAAGAATCCTGTTCCAGGGCCTTCAGCTCTTACTTGTACACTCTCAGCAGAACTATAACTGGCTTTTCTGGTCAGTTAGTGAAATCTGCTGTGTTCCTTTCGGTCAGACCATTTGCAACACTATTATTTCAACTATCTTAATATCCATATCTATCATACCATTCACTAACTTAGTCTTCTCCTTGTGACAAGCCATTCCAATAGAAATTGTGTGGTGTTTTTTTTTTTAAATTTGTTTTTAATATAACCCAAAATTTGGTGATTCTATGACCTGAAGAGTACCGATTAAAGCACCAAAAGGTTAGACCACTAGAGGGAGTCCAGAACCATATCAGCCCCAAGGCTATAGGATTTTTTAGTTTGAAGTGTTCTCAACTGTGGTTTCTATTAGATTTTCCCAAGATTTACACCCGGGTGCATGAGATAATCTGTTGTCTATTTAGTTACTATTTTGCGGCGGGGCGAGGGACGGCGGGGGCGAAGGTCTGTTAGTGACAGCGGGAGGGGAAGGGGGCTGAAGATGGTGGTGGTGGCAGAGGCAGCGGCACCGTGGGGCTCGGTGGTGGCCTCGGCCTGGGCAGCATCTAGCTTGGGAGGCTGCCCGGGGCGGGCGTCCCGAGCCGGCTCTGAAAAAAAATTTTTTTTAAAAATATATAGTTACTTATTTTCATATTAATTTCTACAGGTCTCAGGCCATGCAGAACTGACTTTTAAAGTTATAATTTAATTGCTATATTGAATATCAAAATGAGACTCCCCAATCCAAAATGTAGTGGTAGATCAATATCCAAACAAACTGAATTTATCTTGCTATAGCCTAGAAATAATTATAGCCTTTAATGGTCTCAAATAGCCTTGCTAAACAATCTTTTGTGAGATTTTCCTAAAGAGATGCATTTAACAGTTTCTCTTGAGTTCAGTTAGTACATTCAAGGTTACAATCTGTCTAATATTAGATTTACTATAAACATTCTTAATTATCAGTAAGTCTAAAATTCAAAAGAAATAGTTGGAACCTGTTTCTTTTTAGAATAATGATTGTACATTATTTGTGTACCTTCATCAATATTACATATTAAATATTATATTCCAATATGTGAAATATGCCATAATTGTGGGGGGAAATCTAAGGAAAATGGTTAAGCCAAATAGCATGAGACATCTATAGGTCCATGAATGCTAATCTTTCTTATGCTTTCATTTTCATGTTATGCTCAACCCTAATACATTTGAACAGTGGCAATGACTGAGTTGTAATAGGTGAGTATAGAGGTAACCACATCTGAAAAGGAATGATTTACAAATGCTTTATCTCAATATGTCCATACAGACATATTGAGTGACTTAGTGCCACAGATACCTAATATGCCAAACAAATTTTCTTATTTTAAAGTAAATTTAAAATAAGAAAAAAAACCTCTAATAGGGCATTGTTAAAATTATTCTTTAAATTTTTCTAGTTTTTGTTTTCCTCGTATATCAAGGCTAGAATTATTCTTTACAAGATAGAGTCAGGGGAAGGTGGGTGATTAACACCATCAGAAGTCTTTGCTGAATAATAGTGACCAGCAGACTATATTTCACAAAACACTATTTTGGCAGTCTGTTCTTACAGATTTTTAGGAAACTTCTTGTTTCATCTATTTTCAAAAGTGAAGTCTTTAAAATAATTATCCCCCATGATATTGGTTCAAATTGTTCAACTAGTAAAAGTAATAATAGTCACGTATTTCTTTAAAAATATTTATTGAACACCTACTTTGTGCTATTTACTGTACCAGAGGCTGAATATATGATGGTTAAAAAAAAAAATGTAATTCTTGCCTTCATGAGGTATGTAGTCTAGTGAGGAAGTCAGACATTAAAGGACTCAAAAAGTGAATAAACCAGATAATTAAAGGTGATAAAAATTGCTATGAACAGAAAAGGGCCACTTTACACAAGGAAGCAGGGAAAGCTTCTGAGGAAGTGACATTTAAACTCAGACCTGAAGGATGTGGAGGGAGCCAAGCAGAAGAATTGGAGTGGGGAGAAGGAGGGGGCAGAATACCAGTCAGAGGGAAACAGTGGAATATGGTTGCTGTATTTAAGAAATTAAAAGAAGGCCAGTTTTATCTTTACCATTTCTTTGGAGTTTACAATCTACTTTTTCCTAATTGTTTTACATATTTAAACAAGATGGATATTTTGTTACTCTGCATAGATAAGTTAGTTGTTTAAGGATAGAAACTAACTTTAAAAATATGTATCTATGGCCCTGGCTGGTTTGGCTAAGTGGTTAGAGTGTCGGCCCTCAGACCAAGGAGTCGTGGATTCGATTCCCAATCAAGGGCATGTAGCTCGGTTGCAGATTCAATTCCTGGCCCCAGTCGGGGTTGTGCAGGAGGCAACCAATTGATGTGTCTCTCTCTCTCATCGATGTTTTTCTCTCCCCCTCCCTTCCTCCTACT